TGTGTGTGTGTGTGTGTGTGTGTGTGTGTGTGTGTGTGTGTGTGTGTATATATTTCCAATGTATGTTTCTTTTTGGAGCATTCATTTTCTTTCTTTTTTTAAGACAAGGTTTCTCGGTGTAGCCCTGGCTGTCCAAGAATTCACTTTGTTGACCAGGCTGGCCTTGAACTCTAGAGATTTGCCTGTCTCTGCCTCCCAGTGCTGGGATTAAAGGCATGTACTACCATGCACTGCTGCAACATCTATTATTTATTAATAACAAATATAGACCAGCACCAAGATTATTCTTATATTTTTTGAAATAGTGTTTCATTCTGTAACCCAACCCACACTTGAACTCAGGATAATCCTTCTACCTCAGCTGCTCAAATGCTGAGATTATAGTATGAGCCATCACATCTGACTATAAAATGTTAAGAGTCATAAAACATCCTCAAAGGTCACTGCCAATTTTTCAGTTAAATGATATTCCACACCAAAAAGGTTAAAGCACAAACAAACAACCACCCACAAAACCCAATAAACCATAACAATAAAGTTAGGACACATACAATTCAATCGTGAAATTATGTATTAACCTTTAACTTGACAATTTGATTTCTGATAAAGGGTTTTGTTAAATAGCTTTAGCTGGCCTAACACTATATATAAGCTCAGGCTGGCCTCAAACACCTGAGTACCGGGTTAACAGGCATACCCCACCACACCTGGCTTAACCTGTTTAAGAAAAAACAATTTGTTCTCCTAACAAATAAAAATAAAATCTTCCAAAGCAATAAAAGTTGAATGGATTACAAAACATGCCTCATCTTACTTTTCAAAGTGAGCTACATCCTAGAGATAGAAGTTAAAATATAGGTTCATGCTGGACAGTGATGGGGCACGCCTTTAATCCCAGCATTCTGGAACACAACCAGGTAGACCTCTGAGTTTGAGGCCAGCCTGGTCTACAGGGTGAGTTCCAGGACATCCAGGGCTACACAGAGAAACCCTGTCTCATAACCAAACAAACAAACAAACAAAACAAAAAACTGTTCAGTATAAACACCGAAGATCTTTTAATTACTCAAAACATTAAAGAATAGTAATGGAAGGGAGAGGGGCTAAAAAGATGTCTCAGCAGTTAAGAGCATGCACCCAGGTTCAATCCCCATCACCTACATGGCAGTTCACAACTGTCTGTAACTCCAGGATCTGACACCCTCACACAAACATACATGCAGGAAAATACCAATTCACAGAAAACAAAACAACAACAAAAAGGATAGTAACTTCTTTTTTTATAATAACTCAGGAAAAATTTAAGTTCTGTCTGCAGAAAGGTAAGACTCAAAAATTCAAGCATTTCTTCCAATGTTGAGTTTCGTTTACGAGACATCAACAGAACTGAACAATAGCAACCACTGAAATAGTTAAGATCATAAAGATAATCCAGCCTTCTATAGAGAAAAAGAAAGCAACTACAGAAAAATAGCACCTCCCCAACCCCAAGCACTTCAGAAAAGCAGCACCATGCCAGAGCTAAGTTTAACAAGTAAGTAGTAACCGTAAGGCCACCAAAGAGTAGAATGAGGGACTGACAGGGCTCCAAATGACTTAAAAAACACCTAATAAATTTAAATAAAAAGATTTTTCTTGGGCCGCCAGGCAGTGATGGCACAAGTCTCTATATCCCAGCACCGAGGAAAGAGAGGCAGGTAGACCTCTTGAGTTCTAGGCCAGCCTGGTCTACAGAGTGAAGAGCCAAGGCTACACAGAGAAACCCTATCTCGAACAATTAAAAAAAAAAAAAGATTTCTCTTGAGTCAGGTTTATAGTTACATGCCTCTAATCATATTCCCTGTAATCAGAGGCAGGAGGGTTACAACTTCTCAAAAAAAAAAAAAAAAATTTCTCATTTTTAATCCTACTAACTCATAGCAGAGTAAAGCTATAGTACTTTGATACTATGAAGTAAGACTACCAGCATTAACATTATAACTGTTGGTATGACTTCAAAGAGTAACACGAGGACTAAGGATATAGCTAAGTGGTAAACAGCTAAATGTCTAGTATGTCTAAAACCCTGTATTCAATCCCCAACAGTGCCCTTCCCCACAAAATACTGTTATACTAATAGTACATAGTAAAAATGTAAATGTATACATTATGGTAAGAAACAAGTTCGAAAAACATCAAGAAAAATGCCTCACCATGTAATATATACCTTCAGAGTGAAAATAAAGACTGCTCATCTAAAGAGCCTAGTCCTAAAGTTAGATAAAACAAGAGAACTAAATAATCCCTATGTATTTTTGCAAGGAAATAATCTAAATGAGATGTAAATGTATCTAGCCTAGCAAATTTGCTTCAATATCCCCCCAAGACAGTTCTAAAATCCAAAGGATGATTTTCACAAAACCATTTTTTTTTCTTTTAAGTTTTTCAAGACAGGGTTTCTCTGTGTAGCTCTGGCTGTCCTGGAACTCACTCTGTAGACCAGACCGGCCTTGAACTCCAAAATCACCTGCCTCTGCCTCCCAAGTGCTGAGATTAAAAGCGTTTGCCAACATGCCCAGCTCATGCACTTTTTAAACTATCTCTATTAGCATATAATACATCCCACAATGTGACAATGTAACAAGCAAAAATGCTTTGAAAATTATAAATTTTAAAATGTTTCCAATCTATTTATAAATTAATCCAAATTTAGCTTTTAATTAATTTCTTTTTATTTCATGTGCATTGGTGTTTTGCCTGTGAGTGTATCAGATCCCCCTGGAACTGGAGTTAGTTGTGAGCTGCCATGAGGGTGCTAGGAATCGGATCCTTTGGAAGACTAGTCAGCGTTCTTACCCACTGAGCCATTTCACCAGCCCCCTTCAAAGAACTTTTTTTTAAAGATTTACTTACTTATTATGTATACAGTATTCTATGTGCATGACAGAAGAGGGTACCAGACCTTATTATAAATGGTTGGGAATCATCATGTGGTTGCTGAGAATTGAAATCAGAACCTCTGAAAAAGGAACCAGTGCTCTTAACTATGAGCCATCTCTCCAGCTCTCTCATCTTTTTAGGTTTTAAAAAATTTATCATTTTAAAAATCAAAATCAAATATATCCTAGAATAACAAAGTATATTAAAAAAACTTCAATTAATAAGAAGTTAAATTCTCAGAGTTCTACAGAATAAATCACAAGTAAACTAACTACAGACCGCAAACCCAATCTGGCTTACTGTTTTTGTATAGCCCACAAGCCAAGAATGGTCTTTAAAGATAAAGGTGAATGGCTCATCTGATGATAGAAAGGAAAACACTGAATCCTTATTAAGTAAACTATTCTTTACTTCCCCAAAGCAAAAAGGACTCGACATCTCTCTAGGAGGCTTATGTTACAAAATAGTGTACTTTGTACCCTTGCATGTTTAATTTCATTAATAAAACATTTATAGACAATGTTCTTGATTTTGTCTTCTGGCCACAAGACCCAAAAATGTTTACTATTCCTTTAACAGAAAAGGACTGATGAATCTTGGCACAAATCAAATGCAGTAGATAGGCAAAAAGCAGACAATTTAATTTGTTATCTTCTTCCTAGTTATTTGAGTGCTTAGCAAGTTTTTAACGTTTACCCATTAAATACAATTAATTTCTCTTTCTCCCAGCTCCCTCAATTGCCAGAAAAGTCTCATATTTCAAGTCTTCATAATAAACTGATGCATTCACAAAACTGTATCTTGCTCTAGAAATGTGATGCCTACATAGTAACAAAGATTCTCCTAAGCAGCATAATTTCGGTTGTCTTCAGTCCAGACTATTAAAGTAGACAGTCATGATGACTCACACCTATAATCCCAGGAGGGAGGTGGAGGGCAGAGGCAGAACAGTCACAAGTTTGAGGCCAGTCTAAGTTATGTAGCTGGTTATCAGGCCCACACTGTCTGCCTAGCAGGACTCCACAGACAAGCAATAAGACTATATTGACCCAAAAGGTTTAGTGGAAGGTCTCTTTTTTTCAATTTAAAGTTGTTCACTTTGATATGCTCAGTAAATGAATCTTGCACATAAATCAAGAAACTTGTCTTCTGCTATTACCTTTGATTAAGTACTAAACATCATACAGGAAAGGCTCATTCAGTAAAAATGACCCTACTTGAAGATCATAATGACCAAAACATCTTATCTTTACAGATCCTTCTATTAACTTCAAAAGTACCAAAGATAGATATCCTGAGCCTTTCAGAAACCATTTAAGTCCTAAACAACAATCGAACTTGAAAATCATAGCACACAGTAAAAAAATATTAATCAGTAAAATCACTTTACTAAATTTCTAAGAGAAAAAAACTAGTGACAAACTAGAATAACAAAAATGATACTTAAAAAAAATTCAACTAGTTGCTCTTTCAATTTTCATAATTAAAACATTTAAGACAAAACTTTAAAGATACTTTTTCTTTTCCATTTATTTATATTTTTTTCTTCTCTCTTTTTTTTTTTTTGTTTTATTCGAGACAGGGTTCCTCTGTGTAGCCTTAGTTGTCTTAGACTCACTTTGGAGACCAGGCTGAGCTGGAGAAATGGCTCAGTGGTTAAGAGCACTGACTGTTCTTCCAGAGGTCCTCAGTTCAATTCCCAGTAACCACATGGTGGCTCACAAGCATCTATACTGGGATCCAATGCCCTCTTATGCAGGTGTACATACAGATAGAACACTCATACACATAAAATAAATAAAATCTTTAAAAAAAAAGACGACGACCAGGCCGGCCTCGAAATCATGGAGATCTGCCTACTTCAGCCTCCCAGAGTGCTAAGATTCCACAGTGCCCAGCTTCAAGGACTCTTTCTTGAGAGACTCCCACCCACTCTAAGACAAAGCTTTCTAATAGTTTGAGCAGCTTGAAATAAGATTCATAAAATGTACCTTTTGATGTTTGTTCTGGAGTTTCGATGAGACATGTAAGTGAGAGTTCTGTGCAAAAATATTGGCTACAAAAAAATTAAAAATATTAAAATTACAGATGAAATAATAAGAATGAAATAATATTGGTGAATTTTATTGACTACTTACTGCTATAAGATTTCGAGTTCGAAGAAATCTATAGATCTGTGTTGGTTCTAGATAACAGAAAACAAAATTCAAATATTATCTAAATGTACTTTTCAATGAACTCATCAGTAAACTATCAACTCAGCCCATGCCAACCCATACCCTAACCAATACAAAACAATCTCCGGTTAAGAAAATGGTGTACGACATATTTATATCCAGATAATTAATAAACACTAAAGGTCATTCAATCTATGGTATATATTCACAAACTCCTCTTTCTCCCTCCACCCTCTCTTTGGGGATTTAACACCTAAGGCTCTCCACACTCTTGCATTAACCCTTTCTAAAGTAGCTGCCATTACTGTGCAGAAGCAAGGAGCAGTAAAAGTACCTTGAAGTAGTTCTATTCCACAAAAACTATGCCAAACAAGATGAAAATTTCATTTTTAATTGGCCATTAAAAAAAAAAAAGTGTGACTAGACAAAATATTAACTCTTTCCAAACATTCTAATACAGATACCATCAACATCCATATTATAAAATCTCTGTATTTTAAAGTTATAACTGAGAAGTTCTCAAAACAATCTTTTTTTCTTAATGCTTAAAATTTAAATTTTTATAAAGGACTAAAGTTGGAAATAGACCCAATACCCCCCATTCCAGTGATCTAACTACCACAATCACATTTAAGGATTATGAATCTAATTACGAATACCTTCATTAATAATATTATTAAGAACTTGAACGTCTAGAAACTGCAATCAGTATTAGGGGGAAAAATCTATTAATGATAAGTGGCTTCTGGCAGGTGGACTCATCTAACTCTTAATGGTAACTGGTTTCTTGCAGATCAGCAGTTAAAACCTTCCTAGAAGATCTGTTTTCTCGTAATATTTAGAAAGTTTTAAATTTCCACTTAATCTTCAGTTTAGTTTTAGTTTCAAATTAGGAGATGAGATATTTTAGAAGAGTTGCAAACAAGAGACTGTTAATTCTTAATACAGTCCTTCCGTTCTTTTTCCACTTAAAAGCGTTTTATAAAAGTACACTAAGCAAAAGAATAACTAAGCAGAATAATATTTGCTTCAATATTAAAAACTCGAAATTGTCTGTATTAAATCTCAGTAAGAATTTCATGTAGCACTAGTGAGAATAAAGGAGCAGTAAAACATCGTAAAACGTCTTACCAAGCACGGCAGACACCGTGCCCATAACATATGCCACGGTAATATTGTAAATAAAGAGATTCGACGGTAAATCTGTAAAACGCTTGGCCAGGAGACTGCCAAATTACAGTATCTACACAAAAGCCAAGCAAAACAATCAGGATATAAAATCCATCAAGTAACAGTTTTATTTATAGTTATAATGTTTATAAATTCTATTGTTTGTTTCCAGACACTGCGCTCCCCTTTCCAAATAAGTCAGAGTTTTCGCCCTCCACGCACGTTTTGTAACAGAAATCTGAAATAAGAAAACGTTCTGGAAGGAAGACACAGCTCCGAGGCTGTCCCCGGAGAGGACGCCTGCCCGCTCTGTCTGTCTGTCTCTCAGTCTACGTATCCATAAAATGGGCGGACAGGTGTGAGAGGCTTCCGAGGGCGAGTTTTCCCCACGCGGCCCATGTGGGTGCGAGGGCGTCCGCGGCCGGTGACAATCTTCTCGGCTTCGCCCCGCTCGTCTCCGCACAGGACGGGTCTCGTCCCCCCGAAACCCACAACTGGAGCCCCGGTACTTGTGGAGTAGGCGAAGCTCCCGAGAGCCCGAACCCGCCTCGGAATCCGACCGCTCTCGCTTCAACCGTCACGTCCTCCCCACCAGGCTGCCCGGACGGTGGGGGCCCGGGAGCCGCCGGGACCCCGGGAGCCGGGACGCCCCCCCCCCCGCTCCTCCTCCCTCCACCCCGAGCCGAGCGGCCCCGGCCGGCCGGGCCCCCCACACTCACTCTCAAAGGCCTGGAGGAAAAGCTCGTGGTCAGCCTGGACGTGCTCCATTTTCGGCTTCTTCACCGGTAACACCGCGGCGCCCGCCGCCGCCGCCGCCGAGGAGGAGGAGGCCGAGTAACCGCCGCCGCCGCCGCCGCCGCAGCCCCCGCCGCCGGATTTGCCGCCCGAAGCCGCCGCCGCCGCCGAACCCCCGAAGCCGCCTCCCCCGGACCCCGCGCTGGGCCCCGAGCCGCCCCCTCCCCCACCGCCGTGCTTCTGAGGCGCCATCGCGGTTCCTGCCTCCTCCCCCCGCCAGCTACCCGCCGGGCGGCCCCGGAGAGTGAGCGCCTGCCCCACCAACCGCTCGCCCCAGCAGGCTCCGGCGGACCGAGGGGGGAAGGAGGAGAGAGGGGAGGAGAGGGGAAGGGAAGGGAGGAGGAGAGGAGGGAAGGAGGGAGGAAAAAAAAAAAAAAAAAAGTGCCTCCTCCGAGCCCCGCTCCGCGTCGGGGGCCGCTCACCCTACCCTGGCCTCGCTCCGCCCACCTCCCCGCCCGGCGCTCTGATTGGTCGGCGGGGGCGCGCGCCGCCCGGCCGCCCAGCCCGTTGGTCCGCGGATTCCACCGTCAGTCACGCGGAGGCGCTTCTCGCGGAGGCGCGGCTTGGTTGGCCCGTGCGCGCGGCCGACCGCGGGCCCGGCCGCCTCTTTGAACTGAATTCGCGGGAAAATTAGGGGTCGGAGCGGCCTTCCTGCCGGTCCCGGTGCATTGTGGGCAGAGGGGGACCGGTGAGCGGAGGAGAGAGGCGTTGCTCGCCCGGAGGGCTTGGCCCGTCGCCGCCCCGGGCCGGGCAGGGGACCCCTGAAGAGGGGCGGCTGTCTGGGGGGCGGGGGAGCCTTCGAGAGACCCCGCCGTCCTCCGCGGGCCCCGAGACCGCACTCTCGGGAAGTGACCTGCCCCGACGTGGCTCCTGCTCACGCTCTCCTCTCCGCCGAGGCGGAGGAGCTCGGCTCCCCGGTCCCCTCGCCGCCACGTGCCCCAAGCCACCCGCAGTCCACGGCCGCAGCCGCGGGCTCGCTCCTGCGAACCGAGCTGTCTTTTTTGTGGTGGGCGTGTCTCCAAGAAATAAGGAGACTTTCTTTTCTTCTTTTCATTTTTTTCTTATTTATTTTTTAGTGCTGTGAGGCTTCAAGATCCTTCCGGATTAAGATTGAAGCTCCTCCACCCACTTCGAGCAGAGGAGATAGTTTATTTAATCCGAGACGAACGGCGGATTCGAAGTGGGGACACTTTTGAGACTATTCATTGTACTGTCAAAAGCTTGTGTTTGGATTGTCTTGCTTGAAAAGAAAGATGAACAGGCCTGACGAAGGCTTTAGGTACAAATTAGCTTACTGTTGAGCCAATACTCCGAACAATTTTGTTTAAGTTGGACAACATAAGCAGCCTATATTTTAATTTTTTTTTTTTAAGTTATGTGTGCCTTCTGTACCACGGTTGTGCTGTCCTTGCAGAGGATGCTGGATCCCCGGAATCTGAATCACAGATAGTTGTGAGCCTCCTGGTGGGTGCTGGGAATCAAACCTAATCTTCTGAAGGAGCAGCCAGTGCTCTCAACTGCAGAACCATTATGTCCAGCCCCAGCCCATATTTTATATTCTGACAAAACTTGAGAATGCTTTTTCACTGTACTAGTCTGTTTATTTAGTAATATTTCTCATTTCGCAAAATAAGTATATAGATCTTTTCTTTAGATATGTGAAGTACCTCCCTGATTAGTGCGACCCCACTGAGATTTCGGGAATTTTAGCTGCCCGTCTTTTGCATTATAGTGCTAGGAAATTCAGTCAGGGTCTGGATAAGTAAATCACTCTAAGCAAATCCAAAATATCGGTTACAAACTAGAGCGCTAATTTAGCCATAAATATAGCTGTCAAAATCCTCCATCTTCATCATTCCTCAGGGTCAGGGGATAAGGGAGGAAAGGATGGAGGGACAGATAAAGGCAAATAACCAAGTGAGAGGTTATCATGAGTATTTGATGAAAAGAGGAATGGACCTGAGGGATTAGGGGTATTTTTAAAGGAAATGGTAGTAGCAGGCATTGATGTGATGTAACACATCTGTACTAATCAACAATGATCATGAACAAGACCATCATGCCATGAGAGAAGCACTATGTATGTATGACTGTAAAAGTGACAAGTTACTGTCAATGATATGGCTGTTTAATTCCCCTACCAAACAATGACTTTGGGTTGTTTTCCAAATGTTTTGTTTTGTGTCCTTGCCATATCTGGGATTGAATGTAAACTAATTCAAAGGCCATGCTCCATTTCTTTTACATTTCCTAGCACATGACCAGATGTGCCTGTAAGCAGCGAAGAATAGTAATTGTTTTATCACTTGCAGTTATCAATATATTTTTATGGACACTAACTCACTTTTTCACAATAATCCTTTGACACTGCCATTACTTCCCATTTTACAGCTGACAAAGCAGACTCTGAGCAAGGTGAAATGACTTACTTAGTGGCTCTCTAATTTATGACTTCAAAACAGTGATATTTTTCTATGTTCTTTTTACAATCAAAATAAAGTTAGTCTGTTTAAAATTTCCTTAAAAAGATGGCAACCTAGCTTCTCTTACCAAAAACATCATCTCCTACCAAAACCTTATCTTCTCCCTAGTGTGCTCTCCCATCAATGCCTGTACCTTTCCTTATGTAGATTTCTATTCCAGGGTTGTTTTGTTTTTTTTTTTCCAACATTTTTGTCCCATGGACTTTGGTAGTCTAGTGAAGATGTCATACAAGTACATACGTAGAAAACATTATAAAATAGTATGTTAGTACCAAAACAGCAGAGATCTACAGTTATGATATAATGCTGTAAGTTTTTCTTTAAGACCGCAGTAAATAAGATGTAGTCCCACGTTAGTCTAACTATCAGAACAAAATAGTGGCTGGACGGTGGTGGCCCACACCTTTAACCCCAGCACTTGGGAGGCAGATACAGCCAGATCTCTGTGAGCTTGAGGCCAGCCTGGTCTACAGAGCATGTACCAGGATATCGGATAGCAAGGGCTACACAGAGAAACCTTGTCTCAAGAGAAAAAAAAACAAAACAAACAAACAAAAAACAGTGATAAGGATAAGTTGCATTTTGAAATACTGAGAGAACTATAATGCGATACAGAAATAGTTGTTTCTCTTGGTAACAAAGCCACCAGAAATAGCTAGTACCATTATGATTTATCCCAACATATTAATAATTTAAGGAAATAATAAATTTCACTTAGAGATGTTTCCCCCTCATCCAGATCCACAAATGGAACCCTTTTCAACTTAAAGTATATACCAGAGAGAGACTAGCTCCATGCTAAGCATGTTCTTAGTAAGGCCAAGGCCATGAGTTCAATCTCCAGCATCCAAACAAAGCTAACACCTCTGGGGCACAGCAGAAAGTCTTTCCTTGTTTTAAGACAGGCTCTTACTCGGTAGCTCAGGCTAGACCACAGTACAGAGCAGTCCTCTTGCCTCAGCCTCCTGTATCTTGGGGCTACAGATCTGTGCCACCATGTCCAGCTAGTAAATCTTTTCTAATCTGTTCTACAATAAACCGTAGGCCAGGGCTAGTGTCTGTCCCCTGGTCTGACATACATAAGAGCCAATTCAAGAATGAAACTAAGGATGGTCACCAGTGCACAATTGTAAACTATAACAATTGAGTGCTTACTATGCACTAAACAATATATTAAGTTTTTAAAATTCTAGCAAATTCAATCTGCCAAGTAACCATCTAAGACAGTTAGTTTTTGTTTGTTGCTTGGGTTTGTTTTTTTTTTTTTTTTTTTGGGTGGGGGGGTTGGTTGGTTGGTTGGTTTTGTTTTGTTTTGTTTTGTTTTAAGACAGGATTCCTCTGTATAACCCTGGCTGTGCTGGAACTCTGTAGACCAGGCTGGCCTTGAGCTCAGATATCCACCTGCTTCTGTTTCCTGAGTGCTGGGATTAAAGGCATGCACACTCACACCAACCTAAGATAGTATTGTTATCTCTATTTCACTGATGAGAAAAAAAATAATGAAACAGCTACATGGTCAGTAGTGGAGCAGAGATTATTTTTTAAATTACATGTCTGTATGTATGTGGGGTTTCGGGTGTGCACTGGCAAAGACAACTTGCAGGACTTGGTTCTACTACATGGCTGCTAAGAATCCAACTTAGGTGGTTAGGCTTGTCAACCGGCACCTTCACCTGTTGAGCTATCTCAGCCTCTCTGGGGCAGAAATGCTACTCCAGATAGTCCATCCCCAGAAGCCTCGCACTTGAGAATCATATGACAAAATTACAGTGTCTTACAGAGAGAAGAGGCTATGCCTATCATAAGGGCAAGAGAAGTAGTAAACATTACCCCTGAGACACAAGCCAGTCATAAGTATCTGTGCATTTTCCAAAAGTTAACCAAGACATCAAATCTGGTCTTATTTTACATTTGTACAATGTCTTTCTACCTACCATCTACCCTTATCACTTTAAAGTCAAGGGCTAAAATTACTAAAATAAGCCTACAAACACTGTCACGAATATATGTCATGCTTTGAGTAAACTAGTTATGTTTTATGGTAATTTTGAGAGAAACAGAATTAAATTCAGCTTTAAAACAAAACAGAAACAAAAATGCCCCACGATAAGAAAACAACAATGATCTGCTTACTACTGTGAAGAAATAGCTTCACTTATCTTATTTGAAACTTAAGACCAAACGTTAAATCACTTTTGTTTCCTTTGTCTAGGAAAGAAAAACCTAAGAACCATGGGATGTGTGCTGTGTGTTATGAGGTTTGCAGAATAAACCACTGATGTGTGTATGTGGAGTTAACTACAAATAATAAGGACGGTGGTAAGCCATCTTTAGAACCCCTGGGACAAAAAGGAACTTGACACTAATTACCACAGGGAAAGCAAACCACCTGAGGCCAATTGGAACTATCTAGACAGATTTTGAGAGGCCTGTCTGGAAACAGCTACGCTTATTTTATAACTTATTTTATAAAATAACTGTGGCACAAGTTATTTTATGTTTGATTTTAAAACTGAAGTGAATTGCCAAGCAGTAGTGGCACATGCCTTTAATCCCAGTACTCTGAAGCAGAGACAGGCAGATCTCTGTGAGTTCAAGGCCAGCCTGGTCTACAAAGCAAGTCCAGGACAGCCAAGGCTACACAAATAAACACTGTCTCAAAAAAAAAAAAAAGTGATTTGATATTTATTGAGCATTCTATCCATAAAGTAATAATAGTATCTGAAACATTTTACACACATGTAAGTAAACTTTATATTAAATAATCCTTTTACGAGCTTGCAAAGGGAAAAGCTAGATTTAAACCCAGTTACGCAGCCAGCAATTGGGGTCATTGTGCTGGTATCCCAGCATTCAAGAGGCAGAGGAAACCAGGATCAGAAGT